ATTCTATTCCCTATTCTATTCCCTATTCTATTCCCTATTCTATTCTATTCTATTCTATTCTATTCTATTCTATTCCTATTCTATTCATTCCGTATTATATTCCCTATTCTATTCTATTCTATTCTATTCTATTCTATTCCCTATTCTATTCTATTCTATTCTATTCTATTCCCTATTCTATTCTATTCATTCCGTATTCTATTCTATTCTATTCTATTCTATTCTATTCTATTCTATTCTATTCTATTCTATTCTATTCTATTCTATTCTATTCTATTCTTGTTTCTATTCCATTCCATTCCATTCCATTCCATTCTCACTGTCAGGAAATTCCTCCTTAGTTCTAAGTTGCTTCTCTCCTTGATTAGTTTCCATCCACTGCTTCTCGTCCTGCCCTCAGGTGCTTTGGGGAATAGCTTGACTCCCTCTTCTTTGTGGCACACCCTGAGATTTTGGAACACTGCTATTATGTCTCCCTGGTCCTTCTTTTCATTAAGATCATAGACATTGACCTCTACCACCCATGATAGTCAGTTTAGGCGTATACGATTGAATCTAGGTCAGCCACTGGGACCAGAAGTGTACTCCTCCAAGCTTTCGGACATGTACTGGAGCCCATCTTCAGGTAACTTCTCTCTACTGAATCTGTGCTTCGGGCTATTCTGTGAGTCGTATTTATGTGGGGCCTTCCTATTGGTTGAGTGGTGTGTTGATGGCTGGCGATTGGCAGTTGTTTCCTTGCCCTGCCAAGCCCTCGGCTCCTGATAGGCTGGTGGTAAATCAGCATTCTGACAAGGGCCTCGTTTCCCAGGCTTTAATAGTTTCCTTGGCTGTTTTTGTCCCTGCCCATCCAACAATCTTAGTAGCGGCAAAATTGAATGTATGTCCTCGTTCATTGCAGTGTGAGGCTACCGATGAGTTCGTGTCTCCTCGTCTGACGGCTCACTTGCAATCTTCTTCCCCGTCTGTCCTACATAATAATCACAGAGGAAATCCATGCAGGGGATCCAGTAGATTACATTAGAAGTATCTTCCGCTTCCAAGCAATCTTTGCAACGCATGATTTGCTCTTGTATGGTAGCCACTGGGCAGTATGCAATGCCCTTAAAATTTAGGCTCCTCTCTAATGTTTTTCAGTCCAGACTAGATCACTAGTCATTGCTATATCTGTGCTACATTCCCTGCAAGCACTAAGTAGACTATCATTCAGTTCTGGCATGTTTTGGGCAATCTTCGATATGTGAAACCAAAGCCCAGCATGCTCAAGATAGATTAGCTTTCACACAAACATACTGTTGACACCATCCAACACAACTTAAGGTACATGCAGTCTAATGATATATTCAGGTTGTTTCAAAGGTATTTTTCAAAAGACAACTGGACTTTCTTGGTTTTTTTTTTTCCCCTTGAAAAGTTTTGCTTCTCATCCAAGAAGCTTCTTTGGTTCTGATTAAATGGAAAGGAATAGAAGGATTTATATTCTTTGTAGTTGTTGTCAGCACTGTGAAAGAATTTAAATACTTCTATTCCCCACCATTCAGTCAGAATGTTGGGGCCTGCCAGCAGAGCTGGTGGCAGACTCGGACAGTGAGGAAGAACATGGGCCAGTCCTGGAGTCTGCGGAAGGCTCTGGTGACTGCTCTGCCTCAGAGGCAGAGATGGGGCCAGGGCCATCCGACAGTTATCAGCTGCCTTTGGAGTCAGACATCAGTGAGGCAGAAGAACAGCTGGAGCCTGTTCCCGATATGCGCATGCACAGAGCTGCCAGGAGAAGGGAACAGTTAAGGAACAAGAGTCAACTTGGGAGTAAAGGCACAGATGGACAGCGAATAGCCTCAGAGCCTCAGCTCCTGACCACTCCCAAGCAGATACTAAAATGAGGCCAGCTTTTAGAAATGCAGATTTGGTAATCCATTACTCCCTGCAGGAAGGTCTGAGCAAAGGCAGGGTTAGCCCTCAGCCACAATAGGAATTGCCCAACAGGCCCCTTCATTGCATCAGCCCAAACATCAACCAAACTTAGCTCAGATAAAACCCTAGGATTTGTACATGGCCCAAGGGGAGTCTGACAACAGCGGACAGAATACATGTTCTTGCGCAGGGACAGGAAGCTCAAGGGCAAAGCCCAAGAGAAGGTATAAATACCGCTCACTCTGAACTCCATGTGTTCAGCTGCACCAGAGAACCATGGGCTTGGTGATTCTGCTTCATCATTAAACCATCTTTCCAATCAGCCTCCATATTTCCAGTGTCTTTGCCCCGGCTTGGAACTGAACCAGATGGATATTTCTTCCAACAAAGTCCAGTTGCCTTTAGAAAAAGCACTTTTGGGACCACCATGGCCTGGATGATGAAGAATCTCCATAGACAGATATATTCAAGCAGATCTGATCCATACCTTTAAGGTCGTAGAAGAGATCAGAAAGAAAATAAGCGAGACATCTCACCTCATTGTCTGTGCCAACATCCAGAAGAACAGGGAGGCACTGCTGTGGGTGGACGCCACCACAAGCAGTGTAGAGTGCAAGTTTTCCTACTGGGATGCCCATCCCGTAGCTTCCTAGATCACCCAAGCCTAAAATTCTTTCTCCGTCCGTCACCACAATAGCCTGAAAATGAAGAGAGGAATCTGTTGAAAAAAGAAGCATTCAATGCAAAGGTGGTATTCAGCAGGTTCTGACCAGTTCTGGAGAACAGGTAACGGAAATTCTGGGTAGTTCGGAGAACCGGCAAATCCCACCTCTGACTGGAGATTTTACAGTATCCTTCCACTGCCACACCCACCAAGCCACGCCCACAGAACCGCTAGTAACATTTTTTTGAATCCCACCACTGGTTCTGACCAGTTCTGGAGAACCGGTAGGAGAAATTTTGAGTAGTTCAGAGAACCAGCCAACACCACCTCTGATTGGCCCCGCCCCCATCTATTCTCCGCCTCCCGAGTCCCAGCTGATTGGCTGGGTCTTCTTTTGTTGCCTTACATAGGAGAACAGAGCTGGAAAGCAGGTTAGTGGGATGGGGAGGGAATAGGGATTTTGCAGTATCCTTCGCCTGCCACGCCCACCAAGCCACCCCCCACAAAAAAAAACATGCCCACAGAACCGATAGTAAAAAAAATTGAATCCCACCACTGATTCAATGTAGTGTTGCTTTTATTAAGGAGGAGAGTTAAACCAGGCGGTTTGGAAGGACACAAGATTGTTTCACAACCAATGGAGGTTTTCTCTGAAAAGACCTGAAACATTGGTGGATAACTGGTTGATGTCCATGATATATTACTTATACAAATTCTGGATCGACTCAGTTTCTTGTGACAATTACTTTCTCACTGTTACTGTAGTTTTTTTTAAAGCGAAAATATTAATAATAAGAATGCAAGGCATCTGTTCATCTACAGAATTCTTTATAGAATAGAATCCTTTATTGGCCAAATGTGATTGGACATACAAGGAATTTGTCTTGGGTGCATATGCTCTCAGTGTACATAAGAAAAAATAAAATACATTCATCAAGAATCATAAGATACAACACAGTGATAGTCATAGGTTACTACAAACAATCAAATCATACATAGGTTACTAATATGCAATCAAACATACTAGGAAAACAAATAAAACAATATAAATTGTAAAGATACAAGCAGCATGGTTATAGTCATAAGTGGGAAGAGATAGGTAATAGGAAGGATGAGAAGAATAATATGTAGTACTACAGTCTTACTAAATAATTCGACAGTGTTGTGGGAGTTAGTTGTTTAGCAGAGTGATGGCATTTGGGAAAAAAATGTCCCTATGTCTAGTTGTTCTGGTGGGCAGTGCTTTATAGCGTCATTTTGAGGGTAGGAGTTGAAACAATTTATGTCCAGGATGTCTGAAGGGTCTGTAGATATTTTCACAGTCTTCTTTTTGACTCGTGAGGCACGTTGGTAGTAATTGTTTTTTCTGCAGTTCTAATTATCCGTTGAAGTCTGTGTCTGTCTTGTTTGGTTGCAGAACCAAACCAGAAAGTTATAGAGCTGCAGATGACAGACTCAATAATTCTTCTGTAGAACTGAATCAGCAGCTTTTTGGACAGTTTGAGTTTTCTGCTCAAGGTTTATAGCTCAAGGCTGAACTGTGGAGTCCTTAGTGCTCCCTGAACTTGGTTGTTTTCATTGCCCAACTAGGTAACATCATCAGTGCTACCAGTTTTGCAAAATCATATCCATCAGGTCACAAGGATTCGGAAAGTGACAGAGTAACCAAACAACCAATTTAATACTGAATTCAACATAGGACCGTTGTGTTGGTAGTAAGTCATGTAATTTGTAGTTTTTCTTCTCACCAAGTAATATTGCTATAAAGGGAATAAATACATCCCCATATTGTTATTGTTGTTCAGTTAAGTCATGTCTGACTCTTGGTGACCGAATGGACCATAGCATGCCAGCCGCCACCATCCTCCATGGTCTCCTAGACTTTGCCCAAACTCATAATAGTTGCTTGGATGACACTATCTAACCTTCTCATCCTCTGTTTTTGCCTTCAATCTTTCCCAACACTGTAGTCTTTTCTAGTGAGTATATCTCCACATATTCCTCCACTATGTTGCAAGTCTATCAAGAGAAGAAGCCCATAAGTATATTTATGGATTATTATTCATTTGATTTAGACCTGCCACAATCAAAAGAAGACTTCAGCAGCTTGGAAAGAGTACAGAGAAGAGCAACAAAGATGATTAGGGGCAGTGGTGGGATTCAATTTTTTTTTACTACCGATTCTGTGGCCGTGGCTTGGTGGGCATGGCAGGGGAAGGCTACTGTAAAATCTCCAGTCAGAGGTCTCCGAACTCCTCAAAATTTCCGCTACCATTTTTCCAGAACTGGTCAGAACCTGCTGAATACCACCTCTGATTAAGGGACTGGAGGCTAAAACACATAAAGAACGGTTGCAAGAATTGGGTATGGTCTAGTTCGGTGAAAAGAAAGACTAGGGGTGACATGATAGCAGTCTTCCAATATCTCAAGCGCTGCCACAAAGAAGAGGGAGTTAAGTTATTCTCTAAAGCACCTGAAGGCAGGACAAGAAGCAATGGGTGGAAACTAATCAAGGAGAGAAGCAACCTAGAAATAAAGAGAAATTTCTTGACAGCTAGAACAATTAACCAGTGGAATGACTTGCTTCAGAAGTTGTGTGTGCTCCAATACTGGAGGTTTTAAAGAAAAGATTGGACAACCATTTGTCTGAAATGGCATATGGTTTCCTATTTGAGCAGGGGGTTGGACTAGAAGACCTCCAAGGTCCCTTCCAACTCTGGTATTGTATTGTATTGTATTGCATTGCATTGCATTGCATTGCATTGCATTGCATTGTATTGTATTGTATCCTATCCTATCCTATCCTATCCTATCCTATCCTATCCTATCCTATCCTATCC